GAAAAGAGCGAAGATAAATTGTACGAGCTTAGAGACGGCCTCGTATATCGGAAAATCAATAAGAACAAATTATTATTTTATGTACCGGTAACAATGGAGAATAACGTCATACGCACCTGTCATGATGACATGGGGCACGTAGGAGCGAGCAAAGTAATCGCGAACATCAAAAACATCTATTGGTTTCCCGATATGCAAACAAAGATAAAAGACTATATAAAAAATTGCCTTAAATGCATCGAATATTCCTCGGCGAGTGGAAGACCGGAGGGATACTTGCATAGCATTCCGAGAGGGAAATTACCATTTCAGACTTATCATATAGACCATTACGGACCACTAGAAAAAACAAGTCAAGGTCATAAGTTTATCTTATCTGTCATAGACGCATTCACTAAATTCTTGCGTTTGTATCCTTGTAAAACCACGAACTCTAGCGAGGTCATAAATCACTTAAGAGAACACTTCCGATGTTATAGTAAGCCACGACGAATTATAAGCGACCGAGGTAGTGCGTTCACGTCGAGCGAATTTAAAGATTTCTTAAAGAAAGAATACGTTGATCATGTTCTAATAGCTACAGGTACTCCGCGTGCCAACGGACAGGTTGAGATACAAAATCGAGTCTTAACACCTATCCTCGCAAAACTAAACGATTCTTCTAACAAATGGAATCAAGCAATTAGCCAAGCTGAATTTGCAATCAACAATACTATTTGTCGATCCACTGGGGATACTCCTAGCCGATTATTATTCTGGTTAGACCAGTTAGGAGAAATACATGATCTATTGCGCTTAAACTTAGAGAATCAAACAGAAGATGAACGAAATTTGGAAAATCTACGAGAAACAGAATCATGTAAAATCATAGAGAGTCAAAAGGTAAACGAAAAGGCTTACGACAAATCTCGAAAAACCGCCGCAACATATGAAGTTGGCGATTATGTGAACATAATCAACGTAGACACTACGGCTGGTACAAATAAAAAATTAATCCCGAAATATAAAGGTCCTTACGTTGTGAATAAAATATTAGGTGCCGACCGATACGTTATAACCGATGTACCCGGATTTCAGATCACACAAATACCGTACAATGGAGTCGTGTCCGCGGACCGAATGAAAGCATGGATCCGCGACTAGGTTAACTAGATTTAAGAATTAGTAGGTTAGTGAGTAAAATTAAGTTCAAACTGTATTCTATGCGATAATATTAAATGTATTACTAATGTAACTTAAGTTAATTTTGTAAACACGAGAAGCTTACGTGACCGAGACGGTCAACGCGTCAGGATGGACGAGCTGTAGAAATTTAGCTTTATTTTGAGTCTAACTTCCGCGGGCATTGATTCCCGAGCGATAGAGTAACGCGGCCAATGAGAAGCCTCGCGCATTGATACACGCGACCCATGAATCGCGAGCATCCGGAAGGAACCGGCAAGCGTTACCGATAGGTAGTTAGTTAAGCGACAGCGTCTGAGCGAGTTAAAATGTAAAAACCTCTCTGTGGTATTTCACGAAATAAACACGTGCATTGAAAGATCCTGACCATCCGTAAAAATCCCACAGTAATATGGTTTCTACGTGTATTTTATGTAAGACTAACACTTTGAGTACAGATGTGTCACAGAGCCCTTGATTACATAATTCACTACTACCCAAACATCGTTCTGTCTCTTTCTAGGTCTGTCAACATGGTTTCGATGTTATACTCCATCCAGTACTATATGTCGATGTTAAATAAGAATTTTACATACCGATGCTCACGACGAAAGTTGAAAATGTAATAGCAAACTGCGTACCTTGTATCTTAGGCAATAAGAGAGCTAAGAATCAAATACTTAGAGTACAAGACAAAAATCGGAGAACTTATAACTTAAGAAGATGCGAACCGACTAAGTATAAATTAAATGATTTGATCGCAATTAAAAGGGTACAAATGGGCCCCGATAAGAAGCTTTGCGCTAAATACCTTATCAGATTACCTTGTCCTTATCAGATTGTAAAGGTCAAACCTAATAACTCTTACGATGTAAAGTGTGAGGTGCCTGGCGAAGGCCCGATGAAAACAAGCACATGTGTTACTCAACACCCACGGTAATTAATTCTGTCCCTCGAAAATTTTCACAAAATGAAAAGTGACCACCTTTCTATATTAATTGTCACAATCAATACACGACTAACGTTAAGATACTGAACCTTATCGTGCATGGATTGTGACAATTAATATAGAAAGGTGGTTACTTTTCATTTTGTGAAAATTTTCGAGGGACAGAATTAATTACCGTAGGTGTACATGAAACCGTGGTCTACTGTATTGTAACCATTCGAGACGAATGTTTATTCAGGACGGCCGAGTTGTGGGAAGATCGCATTATCACCGTTTATGTTTAATTTCAGTTTAGATGTTAATTTCGTTTTTGTAATGCGCGCTCTCCAGATAGGGATTTTTCCTGATTTTCCCATGACCCGTCCCGCGCTGCTGCGTGACGATAGAATGATTGGCGCGCACGCCTTCTGCATTTTCTTAGCGGAAGTCAGTCTTAGGTTGGAGTCACATTGAGCGGAAATTACAGCGGAACGGAATAGTAAAACCAATCAGAATTCTACAATCATTCCGCTGCTTTACTTTCTGTGATTGTGATTAGTCTCGCTGTTCCGTTCCGCTGTAGATTTCGGCTCAATGTGATTCCAGCCTTAGGGTACAAACCCATGCAGCGGAGTAGCGGAACGAGAGCGGAACCAATCACGAGCGTTCCGCAGTTTTCATTACGCGGTTTCAAATCCCTTCATCTCCATAGAGCGCAATGAGCGTAAGCGGAATTATCAGCAAGTTCGTAAATGACATTTAAATATTGTATTTGTCATTCATTTTTTATTATCAAGTACAGTATCTAAATACAGAATTAAATGCATTTCTCATTGGAAAAAATATTTAAAGATGTTAAAATTTATGAAATTAGTTTTAATGTGATTGCAATCTTTATGAAATAACGATTTATGATGGTTGCGCAAAGTCTGCGTTGCGCTTATTACGCTACATGGGTATTAAGGGTTCACGTTTCAACGTAACAAAACTGGCGGAATAACAACGTGGTGAGTACAGAGATAAATTATTAGTTATTACCAGGGAATGGAAGTAACTCGTTACTTATAACGAAGTTACAGTTACAAGTTACTTTTTTGGTAACTTTACTAGTAACTGCGTTACTTTCTTTTTTTGGTAACTGTAACTGTAACGAGTTACATTTTTTGGGTAACGGTAACAAAATTTACAGTTACTTTTGTCGTTACTTTGCACACGATTAAACACGGTTCGATTGGATACATGCTATTTATAGTGCTTATCAATAAGACTTGAAAGCCCTTAGACATTCGGCCGTTATGATTTAGTAATTATTTTACACTTCTATCTTCTATGTAATACATAGGACATACAAATATTTCAGTTTGCTGCATATTTTACAGGTTTTAGAATTACAAAATTGTGTTTAAAAAAAATTAAAAAATAAATTAAATAATAGTAAATGAGAAGGGCTATGAACCCAAAAGCGAAACAGTTTAAAACACGATGACAATAAGTGTCGAAACATCGTTTGTTTTTATCTTGTTTTATCTATGTATTGTTCTAATATATATTTATACATTTAATTACATTGTCATCGTCGTTCTTATCGGAAATAAACTGTTTCATTTTTGGCTCGTAACCCTTCTTCATTTTTAAATTGATTTTAAAAAAGTAACGGAAAAGTAACGAAAAGTTATTTTTCAAGTAACGGTAACTGTAACGAGTTACTTTTAAAAAGCGATAACTGTAACTGTAACTAGTTACATTTTTTACTCGGTAACGAGTAACTGTAACTAGTTACTTTTAAAAAGTAACTTTCCATTCCCTGGTTATTACTCATTATTAATGACAGATTTCCTAACCTAAAAATGCTTGAGAAACGTGAACGCTCGTGATTATTAGTTAATACTCACTATTAATGACAGATTTCCTAACCTAAAAATGGTTGAGAAACGTGAACGCTCGTGATTGGTTTCGCTCGCGTTCCGCGTTCCGCTGTTTCGCTGCATGGGTTAGGGCGGGTTCACACCTTGAAGGAAAAGCGGAAAGCGGAAGAGCAGTTAACCGATCAGAACTCGCGCTGGTAGTAAATAGTATAAAACTAACAGAAAGTCGACTACCTGATTGGCTACTGCTTTTCCGCTTTCCGTTTTTCCGTCAAGGTGTGAATCCGCCCTTATTGCAACTCTCCTGTGGGTAAGCGCTTTCGAAGAGCGCAATAGTTAATTCGGAACGACTTTCTATGCAGTCTACGCGCTTCATACATGTATAATGTGAGCCACTGCTTTCGTAGCGGTTAGGGTAGCTGTCAACGTAATGACAGAATCAAAATATAGTGAAGAAGTGCATTCTGTGTGCCGTGAAGGTTAAAAATTTCAAATGGATACCATAAAATTAAGATAAGTATAAAAAAATAAGTTAGTATATCAATAATAAATTGTGGTGCATAATAATATGTTAGATGGTGCATTTTGTAATATAAAATTAAAATTAAAATTGAATTAAATAAATTAAATTAAAATTTTTTTTCTCTTTAGTTTGGCTGTGTGAATGAATTACTGTCGCCTCTCAAACAATGCCGAAGAGGATACCGAACCCGAAAATCGCATGTCTAGACTTCTCGTTGCAGAAAGCAAAAATGAAGTTGAGTGTTGAAGTACTTATTACAGATCCGGAAAAACTCGAAGCCGTTCGTTAACGTGAGCCAGATATTACAAAGGAACGTATTCAGAAGATTCATGCTGCTGGAACTAAGTCGTTCTCTTATCTGGTGGCATTGATGATTTATGCTTAAAGATATTAGTTAACATCGTCATTTAAAATGTATAGTTATACTATACATTTTAAATGACGAGTTCTAGAATTGAGTGCGATATATTCATCTTGATCTTTCCATAGTATTTCGTGGAGACTAAAACCAAGGCAGTATGTAAAAAGGCTGATCTGAAAAGAATTGCTAAAGCTACAGGTGCGCAATTTCTAACTTTGCTAACCAACATGGAAGGAGAGGAGAGTCTTGATGCCAATTTCTTGTCATTTTCTTGCCAGTTTCTTGCCAATTCTTGCTACAATTATTCGGCTGTCAAATATATGGTATCAAGGGGAACGATTTTTAAATATGTGTGCTGGCATGTAGAGACAACATTTCAAGTAATTTTACACAGTAATAAATTCTATAACATAGTTATTCTCTAACATATTAAAGTTATACATGTAAATATTTTATTTGCATAGACCGAAATGTTATAAACTATCTAAATTACTTGATTGGTTCCATCAAATACGGATACGCGATCCAGTCGAAGATGGTTACAGACGAATGCACTTGAAATACGCTCCACTTTTCAAACTTAAAGTTATTTTAAACGAATACATATCTCCTGCGTCTAACGACGATGGAATCACGAATGCACTGGGAGTTGAAACCGCATTGTAAAAATGTACAATATGTGGAGAGTGTTGGCGAGTTCGATCTTGTTCCGGATCCACTAACAGTTCCAATTCATTAATGCTTTCTAACAATATGCTATATTATTATAAATATAGAAAATAAAATATGCTCTTACTGTTAACTAATACTTGCTGTAAGGAGTAAATTGTAAATTAAATATCGCAGTCTCAAATATACGTATTGAATTGTTTAAACATTTTTATTCCACGAGTTCTATCAGTTTTAAGTTGTAACGATGCACCGCATCGTCCCAGCCAGAACACCCGGCCGGACGCCGCTACATCACCACGCGATGCAGCGATGAGGGCGCATAGGCGCCCGATAAATTCAAAAGCATAATTCACAGGTACACGGTGGCAGTAACAGCCGCGCCGCGCCGAGCATCGCCGAACGAGGCGAAAATAGATCGGCTATCGCGAACTCCCACCGCTCGGAATCGCGCACATCGCGAGTACCGAGCAACGGGAAAGACCGAGCAAAAGCGAAGCCTCGCGAACGAGGCGTTTTGACGAGCGTTAAAACTCGGCGCTAACAGCGAAAAGAGAGCATTCCTGTTCCTGACTCGAATCCGTCCGATACTCCGATTTCCTAGAGTCTTGCGAGTCCGTAGTAACCGGGTTGGAGAGTTCTCCGACTCCGCTGAGAGTTCTCAGCTGACAAGCAAGAGCCACGAGACACTGAACGACGAGAGAAAAGGGACAGAGAGTACTCTGCCTCTGTCGAGAATTCTCGACAATCGTATCAAACGGCCACTGAATCTCATTGCATCGCGACTGACCAGCATTCGACAGGGGGTGAAGAGTTCTTCATCTCCGCCGGGAGTTCCCGGCCGCTGGTCGTCGTTTACTCACGCCAAGAGACCGCGTAAACACAGCTGACAGACTGCCGCACTAGTCCAGCTATAAATAGCACCGATACAGCTGATCGGCCGCGTTAAGCAATATTCGCGTAGAAAAAGCGGCACAGGGCTTTAAACAGCCCAACACATAGCGCACACGTACACACACACACACACACCAACACATACACACCTGTCCGCGAAATTATAAGCGACGCGCCGGATCCTGCACGCCGAGCGCATATCGACGCACACGACACACACACACACGCACGCACACGCACGCACGCACGCACGCACGCACGCACGCTCGCACGCACGCACACCGAACGACGTGCTTCGCACCGCACACGGCCCGTTTTTGCGCCAGCCGCTCTCACGGCTTTCTTTCTTTCTTTCTTTCTTGCATTTCTTTTTGCTTTCTTTTTTGGTTCATTGTAAATATATTTTTTGCGACAAAGCGAATAAAGCTGATTTATTGTGTAGAGATCTTGTCTGATATTCTTGCTGAACCGCATTCTCCTCCGATCGAACCTCTTTCGTATCCTGGAACGCGAATTAACCGACGAGCTACATCCGCGCATACGAAAGTTAGGTCGTTACAAAGTGAATATGAATTAATTTATTGAATCTTTTATCATATAACAGTAATGGTAAAGAAATAATGTTTTCCATGGAATCTTCAAAGACCTTTGAAAATCGTGTAATACTTGTGGGAAAATTATATAAGACTATATCAGGAGACGCGGTAGTGTCTCCGGCCATGTTCAAAAACTAAGAGACACTACAAGTCTCTTATCCCGAGGTAATGTTTTATTCCATTTATTATATGACAGGGCAGTCTATCTGTCAGTTATGTGTATATAATCAGCATAATAATCGAGAGAGGACCAACCTAGTTTATATTTTTTACCAATGTTTGAAATAGACACGATTATTAAAATCTGTAATCTTTCATTGTGTGGTTAGACTGCCCCGTCATATAATAAATAGAATAAAACATTAATATAGTCTTATAAAGATAGTAGTCTTATAGTCTTTTAAAGATTCAATAAATTAATTCATATTCACTTAAAACTGATAGAATAAAAATGTTTAAACAATTCAATACGTATATTTGAGACTGCGATATTTAATTTACAATATACTCCTTACAGCAAGTATTAGTTAACAGTAAGAGCATATTTCATTTTCTATATTTATAATAATCTAGTATATATTGTTAGAAAACATTAATGAATTGGAACTGTTGGTGGATCCGAAACAGGATCAAACTCGCCAACACTTTCCACATATTGTACATTTTTCCAATGCGGTTTCAACTCCCAGTGCATTCGTGATTCCATCATCGTTAGACGCAGGAGATATGTATTCGTTCAAAACAACTTTAAGTTTGAAAAGTTGAGCGTATTTCAAGTGCATTCGTCTGTAACCATCTTCGACTGGATCGCGTATCCGTATTTGATGAAACCAATCAAGTAATTCAGATAGTTTATAACGTTTCGGTCTACGCAAATAAAATATTCACATGTATAACTTTAATATGTTAAAGAATTTATTACTGCGCAAAATTACTTGAAATAGTGCCAGCACACATATTTAAAAATCGATCCCCTTGACACCATATATTTGACAGCCGAATAATTGTAGCAAGAACTGACAAGAAACTGGCAAGAAACTAGCAAGAAAACTGGCAAGAAAATGGTAAGAAACTGGCATCAAAACTCTCCTCTCCTTCCATGTTGGTTAGCGAAGTTAGAAATTGAGCACCTATAGCTTTAGCAATTCTTTTCAGATCAGCCTTTTTACATCTGCGTACTGCCATGGTTTTAGTCTCCACGAAATACTATGGAAAGATCAAGATGAATATGTCGCACTCAATTCTAGAACTCGTCATTTAAAATGTATAGTTATACTAATACTTTTAAGCATAAATCATCAATGCCACCAGATAAAAGAACGACTTAGTTCCAGAAGCAAGAATCTTCTGAATACGTTCCTTGGTAATATCTGGCTCACGTTAACGAACGGCTTCGAGTTTCTCCGGATCTGTAATAAGTATATACTTCAACGCCCATCTTCATTTTTGCTTTCTGCAACGAAAAGTCTAGACATG